TTCAAGCTAGAGCTATCCAAACCAATAATCCAACCAAGCTCAAAGTCCACACACATCACAAGCACAATCTGTTTGGACCAATAATCACATCAATATTCATACTCAACAAACATATGACATAAAGACAACGCCTTTCCTTTACGTTTCATGCCTTTAGGCTCCTCACAAAGCCAAAAGCCCTTAGTCACATAGATTCTGACTTAGTTTAATTATTACTGAAGTTCATAACCATCATTTAAGGGTCCAGAAACCCAACCCACCTTCTGTTTGGGTAAACTAGCTCAAAACATGACTTTTCCCAGAATATCCCGATATTTCTCGGGGGCATATCCGGATATCAATATCTGGATATTCATAGACCTAATATCCAGATATCCATATCCAGATATTCATAGACCCAATATCCGAATATCAATATCCAAATATTTTCATACCCAATATCCGAATATCCATATCCAGATATTTCCAGACTGAATATTCGAATATCCATATCCGGATATTTCGCGGCAGAATGCATTTTTGCATTTTCGTGAAGATATCCCTTCAAGGTTCCATTTTTAACACTTCCAGACGTCCAAGCATGCATTTTTAGACACATTTAAGCAAGTGTTTATGTTGGTTACCTACTCATCTCATTTTACATGTCAAAACTTCACTTTTAACAAAGAAAACTCATGAACAAGGTTCAAGGACATACCCCAAAGCTTAAAACAGAAAAGACGGGGTGCTCTTGGAGCTCTCTATGAAGATCCACAAGTCTGATTACGCTGGTCCACGAAAATGAGCATCAAGGTTGGTCTTTTACTTCACAAGGTAGCTCCTTGGAGCATCAACCACCAAGAAAATGGCTTCCCACTTCACCAAACCAAAAGTCAGCACCCAAACCTCACTCAAACTGACACCCTAACTCAGAAATGTAACCCCTGTCTATTTCCCAAGGCTTGAACACACTCACTGTTGCGACTCGGCAAGTGCATCGATCGTGAAAGTAATAAAGTGTACCGGAGTACGTGATCGTTCCCACGAGGATCAGAATTTTCAAGCACTAGTTCGCTAATCGCGTTTTAGTTGGACAATCAAAAGTTGGGATCATAAGTCGGTTTATGGAAAACCCGAGGTACACTCACTGGAAGGCAGCTAAGAGAATTATGAGATATGTGAAGGGAACAATCTCACAAGGACTTCATTACTCGAAGTCGGACAAATACAAACTGACGGGTTATTCAGACAGTGATTGGCGCGGAGATGTTGATGATAGGAAGAGCACGGCTGGCTATGTGTTCTTCATGGGAAATACGACATTTACTTGGATGTCGAAGAAGGAACCCATTGTGACCCTGTCTACATGTGAAGCCGAGTATGTTGCGGCATCTTAGTGTGTTTGCCATGCCATATGACTGAGGAATTTACTAAGCAAGCTGGAGCAAGAGCAAGTCGGCCCAACCGAGATTCGAGTTGACAACAAGTCCGCAATCGAGTTAGCTAAGAACCCGGTCAATCATGAGCGGAGCAAACATATTGATGTTAAATTTCATTTCATCTGGGATCAAGTAAAAGAAGGAAAGGTGGAGCTCACTCATGTTGCAAGTCGAGATCAAGTTGAAGATATTTTCACAAAGCCCCTGCCGACGTTGTTGTTAGAAAATTGTAAGAAGAAGATGGGCATGAAGGACGGTAGATATATTAAAGATTAAGGGAGAGTTTTGTTAGGTTAATCTTTAATTTAAATAAAAGAAAATAGAAATATGAAGGGTTGTTTTATGGTGTGTCCCTAGGCATATGTTAATGGATAATTAATATGTTTAGATTTTCTATGTTAGTCATTATTATTCTTAATCATTTGTTGTTGCTTATAAAAAGCACATTGTAATTCTTGTAAAGTAGCACTTGGCATAATCAATAATACAAAAAGATATATTCAGAGAATTGCTTGTGTGGAAAAGTGTTCGAGAGAAACACCATAAGAGGACCTGTGAATTACAGAGAAATCCATCATACCTGTGATCTTTAGCTCCTATTTATAGTGCTTACCTTTGGGCTTGCATCATTTGGGCTACCTGTGACTGTGGGCCTTCCTCGTGTCCATAACAAAGTGCAATCTCAATTTCAAGTTCATAAGAATGCCCTGAATTAATTACTTCAGATGAAACAGAATTATGTCAGGAAGCATTAAATGAATGCATGCAGAAGACAATTACCCAATGCACAGCCAAGCAAATTGCCATCGCCTTGGCCCTGATCTTGCTAGGTAGTATTTCGGACATGAGGAGACAAGGAACTGGAGCAGCACCGAGAGCAAATAACATCACAAATCTAAATTGTTCACTTCAAATTTAGCAACACATAGCCATTGCTTACAGTAAAGACTCGTCCAAACTACAGAAGAAAAGCCATTGCTTACAAATTTCAAATTACTTTGACTATATACATAGGGAGTAAATCTCAAGAAGATTTAAGAAAAGCTATCATTTAGCCTTGAGATGAGCATTTGAAAAAGATTGCAATAGTACATTGACAACATCTATGATGCTCAAGCTGACTCGGGTTAAACCTAGGACTTAGAAAGTTTATGCAAGCATAAAGCATGAAGTTGACAAGAATGATAACAGTATTGAATAGGTCAAAGAATCTTAAATCTCCACACATAAAATGCCTCCGAATTTGAAAACAGTCAAAAGACTAAACAACTTGCTTCTTACATGTCTTTAAGTTCCAAAACCATCCTTTATGCTAAACGATGGGGACATAAAAAACAAGGCAAAAAAAAAAAAAAAAAAAAAAACTGATGTTAGAAGAAGAACCAATCAACAGAAGCACCGAAAGACACAAGATCCAAACAGTAAATGAACGCCAATGCAATTAACACAGGAAGGAATATAGCGATACTTAGAAAACAACAAGAACAAGCTTAGTAGAAATGATTCAGTGTGAACTTGCACAGTAAATTTCAATGTCAGACATTAGTATTATCAGTTGAGCTACCCAAAAACATTAACTTCCGCAGAAGAGAGAGTAAGAAGGTAACAAAAACAACCTTACACAAGAATTCAAAGGCGATAACTTTATGAAATGTAATAAAAGACCCATTTCGATTTTTGAGAGAAACGAAAACAAAGAAATAATGGGATGGTGGTACCTGGAGAAAGGAGGAGGCTTTTAAACTTATCTTCAGGAATCTTGCCATCATCAGGATGCCTCTTTAGCGACATGGTCGGAGGAAAAGAAGAAAGAGGCTATGCTGCTCAAGACAAGATGCTTTCCTCAAGAGAGAAGCAGGAGCTTAAAAATTTTGGGGAAAGGAGCGCTATTTAGGGAGGAGGGGAAAATTTTGGAAAAAGAGGAAATTTTAAATATTAGAAAAGAGAAAAATGTAAAATAAAAAATAAAACCAATTCGTGAAATATAAGGAATATTTCATAAAAAATTCAAAAATTTCATATGCAAATCTCACAAAATACAATAATACTTCCATTATTACATGATTGAAAAGAGAAAAAAATAGATTTAAAAAAAAATTAATTATATTACTATATATGATTTGTGCATTTAAAATTGATATTAACCAAAAAGAGGAAAAAAATTATCAAAATAAAGTATAATGAATTGGCTTAAATACAAATTAACTATTTTGTATCTTTTGAGAAGATTTTCTTATATTCAATCTTTATTATTAAATTATAGAAATACTTTTTTTCAAAACATTCAAACCATTCAAACATTTAGATTATAAATATTTTTTATAAAGTTACACTGATTTATATAAGTACTTATATATATAAGATAAAAGATTTCTTCAATCACCGGAGATAAAGTTATATCCAATTAACTCAAACGACGTCGTTTTGTGACGAAAATCAATATGTTTTTGTAATTATAATATATTGCAGGGTTATATTAGTCTTTGTTATTATAATTTTTTAATTTTTTAACCCAAAACGACGTCGTTTTGAGCTCACTGAAGATAATTTTATCTCCGATGACTAGAGAAATATTTTTTCCATATATATATATAGGTAGGTTCTTTTTACACCAGTGTAAGATTGAATATGAAGAATCATAACTATAGAAAAGTGAAAATAAATACAAAACATTAAATATGAGAAATTATAACCACACAAATATGAAAATAAATATAATATTTCTATTTTCTACAATTAATTTTGAACGCAAACTTCCTTTATTCCACCCAAAATAACGTAGTTTTTAGGTGACTGCATCCACGCTTCTATGCAGTAATACAAAAGTGAAAATAAATATAAAGCATTAAATATAGGTAATCATAATCATACAAATGTAAAAATAAATATAATATTTCTACGAAAACTGATTTCCGTCGAAAACTTTTCGACAGAATTATTTCCCGTCAAAAATTTTGACGAAAAACAAATTTCGTTGAAAATTTCGTCACTAATTTCGACAAAAATTTTTCCGTTGAAAAATTCCGTCGATAATAAAGACTTTTCTAGTAGTGTATTGCTTCTTTTAATATAAATCTGAATACTATTTCAATTTATTTAGTCTTTTTTTCGTTTAAAAACTAAGCAAACCGTTCCTTGAGAACTGAAAATTTGAACTATACTACCCCACATGTACTCGCCTTGTATCTCTTCTTCTTGCGTTTTTTAATAAAAAGATGAATATTCAGTTCTCTGCTGTGATTTTCGTTTCTCGTGTGTCATTGTTACAAAAACATATTGGGAGAAAGGCCCAGGTTCAAACAACGTGACCCAATATCTAATATGAAGATCAGAATTTGTATCCTCAGCTGCCCTCCCTTACTCTACCATTGCCTACCGTATGCCCACACGGAAGACTACTTTTACTACAAGGGCATTATAAGGACAATATGTTCAACCACGACAGTATTTGTTTAATGCAATTTTTTTTTTCTATTTCACTAAATGAAACAACATATATATCCACCAACTTCAATAATGAACATTCTTATTCTCTTCCCAGTTTATTAAACCAGATATTAAACAGCATACCCTAAACTTCAATCATGAACATTTTTTCAGAACTCTAATTCCCTTCCAACGAGACTCCGTATAATAGGAAGAATCATTCGATTGGTAAACCCCACACTTGAAGTAATGGGAGACTCCGCCACGGCCTGGAGTCTCATAAACCAGGAAGCCATCAATGTAAACCTTCACATCCGAGGCATCGACGTCATGGATCACATTTAACTTAAACCATCTCCCCCATATGTCTGTAACCAAAACTGGATGCGTATAATACGTAAGAGAACCGTTGTAGGTTCTAAGCATAAAAGTGGTGGCAGTTGGAGGGGCAGACCCGAACACTTGCATAATACACACGGCAGTAGTACCATTGGGCACAAAACCATGCCCTTCAAATTGCCATACCCCAGAGGAATAATCGTAGCCCTAAAAGGAAAACAAGCAAACAAGACAATTAAAAGTAATTAAACCATTAGCAATCAGCATACGTAAGCTGTAATTTTTTATTTTGTTTAAAGAAATATAAGCTTACAATTTCCCAGTAAATAATTAGCTCTTGTGGAGCATTTGGATGAAGTAAATTGAAGAGAAAATAATAGTAGTATAGTGAAGCAAAAGAGATTAATTGCTTACTGTAACACGTATTTCTGTTCGTGCATGGGTTTTGCTAGTTATAGAGTGAGGTTTGTCCGTAGAGTACACCCACATCTTATGCACTCCGTCAACAAAGCTATAACGTGCGCTTTCAGGTAAATTATAAGGCTTCTGAACTACAAGGTTTGATTGGTTCAATGGAAGATCAGTGAATCCAAGAGTTAGGTCCACTGGCGAGCTTCTTGCCCCATGCATGAATGAAAAATAAACAAGCAATTTCAGAACAGCAAAGTGATAAACAGAAATCATGGCCTTACAAATATTATATCTCAATTTTTCTAAAAGGATAAATTTGAAGTGGTTTATGGTAACTTAATCAAATTAGAGTGTGTGTGTATATATAAGCTGAGTCTTGAAGATTAGTTGTTGAGTATCTTCTGCAAGTATCCGGCAGCCGGCTGAAAGGATATATAACTTTGGGACCATTTGTACTGAAATCATTGTCTTCATCTTAAGAGCGTATCATAAAATATAAATAATAAATAAATTACAGGGCATGCTATATTTATAAATTCTAAGAAACTACATTATGTATTTCCAGAAATGCATTCTTAACTCAGTCTATTCATGAGAATACATACTTGAGTCTGTAAACAAAAAGTTTATAAATATAATTTGGAAAATACTACTTTCATTTTACATAGATAGTTATCTCATATTTTCTTACTTCGAAAACTGTACCCCTTCTTTTTTCTTTTTTCTTTTTGCTTTTTAATGGTGATCTCACTTGAATTCTCTCAATAGCATGAGAAAACTCCTCTCATATAACTTGAGAGTAATATTCCCCTATATTTTTCATAAACTACAGCTATATTTTGTACTGAACTGAAACTAAACCACTATATTGTACATAGTAAAGTATGGATTCAGTGGGTGTCCTTTAAAAAGCCACAACTTGAATTCTTTTAGGGCTCGTTTGGTACGCGGTATTCTTTGGGATTATCGGGATACTGAAATTTTCTAAATTTTTAATTTTCAGATATTATCATAAACTTAATGTAAAAATTATATTTTTAAAAATTGAGATTCCCGGATAAAAAAAAAATTCACCTCTACCAAATTCCCTAAATATAGTGATTTACATAAAGTCTGACCAGTAAAACTTTGTGTAAATCTTTAAAAAAAAAAAAATTTACTTTATACGTCAATGATGTGACTGGAAAGAAAAAAAAAAATAATTTTTCAGATTTATATAAAATCTTATTAATTAAATTTTGTGTAAATCACTTAAAAAGACATAAATCTGTATCCTTTATAAAAATACTTCTTTTTCCCATTTTACATGGCGAAGTATTCCCAATCGTTTTCTTAACTAAGCGCTGTCTTCTTCTTTTCGACATAAAGATTCGTTTTTATTTATATAAACTGAAATTATTTTCTCAAATATAATTTAAGAATAATGCTGTATATATTTTTATGTAATTTGTATGATTTAATTATAGGTAGTCTCCCATTTTATTTTTGAATACCTAAAAGTTTGATTTTATCAGCTATCCTAAGTAATGTAATTAAGAAATGTGAGTAATGAGTGATGGGAAAGATGGATCTTTCTAACTAACTTAATGGTCACTTTTGAAAAGTCAAGTTCACGGAATTCAAATATTACCGTAAGGTGGTGTTTGGCTGGGTTCTTTCCAAAATTTTCCTAGGCAAGTGAGAGAAGAATTCCAGAATAGAAGTGTTTGGTTGAGTAGATTCAGGCAAAAAGTCAGTCATCCAAAATGCATAGGTTTTTCAATTTAAATGGAAAAGCCAGTTTTTGGTACTGTTTGAAAAGCTTTTCCATATATGGTTTTTTGAAAAACCAGCACGAATCGGTTTTTTGAAAAGCTTTCCGTCTTTAATAAACGAGATTCTGAAGTAGAACAACAAGACAATGAGAGACAGAACTCTCTCAACTTGTGTTTCTCTCTCTTAGAAACATAGGGTTATTTTAGTAATTTAAGATTATTTTTCCATCTATATCTCACCTCCAACCAAACATACATTTTCTAAAATTTACCTAATTTTTTCAGTAAAGTTTTTTCTCCACCAAACAACTTTTTTTAACATTTTCCTATCTATCTCACTTTATCTAACTTTCTTACCATTTCTCTATCAATTCTATTTCCCTACTATTCAAAAAACTTCTCCTTAACCAAATGCTTCATAAAAAAAATCAGATAAGAACCGAATATCTCTGAATGACAAAAATGGCTATATATAATGAACGCAAAATTTTATAAACATAATAGAACTGTTATCTAGACGAAAATATCAAAATAGTTGTGCCAAGATCTTGGCATAATTATTTTGATATTTTCATCCTAGTCGACAAAATATAACTTATATATATAAATTAAAAAAATATAAAAATAATATACTGAAATTGATGTGCTTTTTACATACTTGCACACACATATTCTACGTTTATGGAGGGCCTAGAGAAAGAAAAAAGAGAGTTGAGGGAGTAAAATATAAATTGTAAAGAAATTAATTATTAAGAATTTCTTAATGATGACAATACCCGAGAAGTTTACCTTATTACTTTATACATGTATTCTTCTTTGCCCACCAGACATGCAACCTTTGCAAAGCAGCAAAAATGTTATATATTTTATGTAATTAATGTTTCTCGTATTATCTTCTATAGATATAAAGCTACGTGGACCTCATTTGAGACATGCGAAAAGAAGAGAAAGAAAAAGAAAAAATGGGGTTCACATATTTTTATTGTGTAAATTATATTCGATAACATGAGAAATACGAATCCCATATTTTATATATATATAATTTTTTTTTTGTTAAATTTCAATGGATGTTTGAAATCTTAATGGATCCGACTAATTTGATTTTGAGTTTGTGCTCTTCACATTTCTCAGTAATTGTAACTCTTAGAATCTGAATCACTACTCTTTGAATTGGTCAAATATTGAGATCTATCTTGGTCGCAACTAGACCAATAACTCGTGGGCTATATATACAATATTTGCATTACAAATTTTCAAAACTGAATAAGTAGTAAAATTTCAATTTATAAACCAAATTATATATAAACCAAATTATAATTTATTAAAATAATGTAAATAAAATATATTCTTTTGACTGGATTAGGATCAAAATTTTCTAGGACTGATAATAAATTATTGGATGTATTAAAAGAAAAACAAAAGTGTATTAAAGGCCAATCATATCATAAGAAAAACAAAAGTAATATTAGTAATACAGGCTGAAGCGGCTGTATCTCCAAGAATGCTGGATTGCTACATTAACTCGCTTGTGCCGCATATTTAAAACACAAAACAAATTTTAGTTGTTTAAAACTCCTATGTCATTCACCCATCTATACCTGTTTGTGTGTTCCTCATGAGCGAAGTTATAGTGGTCCTGGACCCAAAAAAATTGGTGGAACTAAGGTGAGAAAAAAAGAGAAAAAGTTGAGGAGAGAGGAGAGAAGAGAGATGAAAGAAAAAAAATTAATACAGATGCCAATTTTTGAGTTAAAGGAACACGATAGTTACGAAGCACAATAAAAATTCAATTCTCCATAATACAGGCTTGCAGCAGGCTTCTTTGTTTTTCACTTCTTTTTGGGACAAAAGGGTATCAAAACCGCCGGTGCTGTCCCGCATCCGGACACTTTTTATTTTGTTAATATTTGTTAGGTGTGTTCGCGGTCTGGATTGGATCGGTTTTGAAGCAAAAAACCATCTGATCCAATTCCTTCGGTTTGGTCATTACATCATCCGATCGGTTTGATTTTTTTTTCAAATCCGATCCAATCAGATCCAATTTTTTTCTGTTTGGATTAGATCGGTTTTCGGTTTTTTGAAAAGCCAAAAAAACAAAAACTTTGACCTTAGAAGGAGCTTTAGAATTCCGAATAGGCAAAAACAAAAAAACACTTCTCATCCAATTATATTCTAAAAGCTTTTGAATAGAGAAGGGTTTTCATTTCCAAATAATTTATTTTCCTTTAATCAAAACTCGAAAACAATTCGTCATCTCCAGTCCATTTTTTTCATATTTTCTCTAGCTCTGCATTTTATATATTAAGAATGCAGGAATTTTTTTTGAATAAAATCGAAATCATCAACAAAGTAGTGAAAAAAAAAACATGATACGTTGGTTTAGATATCTGTGATTTTCAGCACACAATGATTCGATTCAAGTATAGATGGAGTAACACATTTAGATTCTAGAAGAAACAACTTAATACATGCAAATGGTAGCAGAGTCGTCCCAAGCATAAACAAACACTTAAAACTTGACAAAACTCAACTCAGCAATAACCAAAGTGATCAAAATGAAAATAACTGTTACAGAATAACAAAAAAAATGGCACACACTAAAGAGCTGTAGATTGTGAATATGTTCTGGACAAAGGAACAACAATCCAACACTAATCAGAGAGACTAAAACCCATATCCTGCATCACAAAACAAATCAACAATAAAACAATTAGATAGTAGATACTCCACATTAAGTTATCTTTCATTAATCGAAGTACATGTACAAAACAATTAAGTTATCTTTCAACAATAAAACCCATATACTTCACATAGGGATACGGGTACAGATACTCACTATTTAAACATATGGAAAATAATTATGCTTAAACTATATATAGAAGAGCATTATATATTTGTGAGTCATTATCCCATAGTTCTTTTGTAGTCGAATATCTGTGAGCCATTAGCCTAGAGGTTCCTCTATATATTCAAGTAAGGTTTCTGATTTTTCCTCCCCCCTAATATATACAAACTGATTTTTTTATCATATAGCATTGAATAATTAAAATTAAAAAATAACAACTTACACCATCAATTTTTAATCAGAATCCTCATCAGAATCATCATCAACTTCTGTATTTGGATAAATATCTAAAATTATAATAAAATATTGTTAGTAACTTAACAATTAAAAAATAAAAAGATGATATAAAATTAAAAAAGTTATACAACTAGAATAAAATAAATTACATATCTCCATCTTTACAAATTCTTCTATAAGCTCTTCTACATCATTGGAAAAAGGAGTGGATCGGAACCAATTCTGTGCACAAATTAATGCTTCAACTGTCTTTGGAGTAAGAGTACTCCTGTAGTTGTTAAGAACTCTACCCCCAGTGTTGAATGCAGATTCTGAAGCAACTGTAGATACTGGCATAGCCAATACATCCTTAGCTATTAGACCAAGAGTAGGATATTTGCTAGAGTTCACCTTCCACCAATTCAAGATATCAAATTTTTGAGTTCCTTTCTCTAGTG